TTTCCTTTCCCACACGTTATTTATTTATTTTTAATTTTGAGATCAATAAATTCTATATAGTGTTTAGGGATCTAAAAGGTTGGCGAAGGCTATTTTTTTTTTAAACTATTATATAATTCATCTCAAATATGTATTCTTCTAATATTTATGCATGTTTAAAAGTTTATGTTTTATGTTTGGTTAAATTAATTTCTTTGAATATTTATGAACTTTTACAACTTTTCAATTGATTGATACTTTTATGTTCCAATTAGAAATACACAAGTAAAATATATTATATTAATTAATTAATTCTTCAAAAATTTGGATCGGTTTGCGGGTTGAAATTTTTTGGTCGGATCAACTCAAACAACTTGAAAGAATAGTTACAATCCAATCCAATTCTATCCTATTTTTATGATTATTGTGAATATGAAGAAAATTTGATCTTTGTAATCGATGTTAATCGATATTAATATTACGGTGTTACTTTTGAATGTTTGATATTTGAGTTTTAATGAGATTTTTAATTATTAATATAATATATTACTGATTTTTTTTAAATTTTTTTAAGAAAAGAACAAATCAGAATCAAATGAAAGACAAACTCACTCAAATCTTCTTTCTCTAGGAAAACTAACAACCTAACAACTAACTTGAAAATATAGAGTTAAATTAGGTTAGGTGGTCAACTCTATTTAAGTTATTTGAGTTATCAATTCAACCAACACCCAATTTACAATAAGTCCAAAAGATTTATCCAACAAGGATACAATCGTACTCATTAGAATAATATGGAGAAGACTTTTACAGCTCTTTAATATTTAAGTACGTTGCTCAGCTTTGAATGACGCGAATTACCTAACCCGTCTTGCATAGTGAAATTTGGAGTTACACTATTCCAAGCTGAGCAACGTACCCAAAGAATGAAAGGTTCTTCACTTAACGAACAAGAGGGTGGTGAGGAGTGCGAAATTAATGAAAGGCGTGGCAATTACGTGCATACATTTCACTTCATGAGCCTATAAATCAAGGTGGAAGCCTTTGCCAAATACACACACATACCCAAAGAATGAAGAACCTTCATAGCGCAGGCCTTTGCCTTCTCGTGGTGGTGGCGATTCTCACCGGAGCTCACGTTGGGGAGGCGGTGAGTTGCAACCCCACGGAGCTGAGTCCATGTCTCAGTGCAATCACGTCAGCGGGGGCACGGCCAACAGTTGCTTGCTGCCGGAAGTTGAAGCAGCAACAACCATGCTTTTGTGGGTATCTGAAAGATCCAAGAGTCAAACCTTATGTACAATCTCCTCGCGCCAGAACGGTTGCTTCTTCCTGTGGCGTTGCCATCCCCACCACCTGCTAGAGCTACAGTCTCTCCTTCGGTAAGGCTTCTGTACAAAATGAAGTTGCATCCGTCACCTCAGTCTACTACAAAAACAAAACTATAAATAAGAGCGAATCACTTCATATTTTCTCTGTGCTTCAATTTTTTTTTTTTTATGCATCATAAATCATTAGACAAATTGAACGTAGCACTAGTTAATTGTACAATGCTCGCAAAGTTTTTAAAAATAAATAACGTGTAAACTAATGTTAAGAATAAGAAATAGAAGTAGGATCAAAAGTGCGATATACATTTATGCTCACAATGTTTAAATAAGATACAAGCTACCAACTAATACGTAAAGTAAAGATAAGAAGAAAATATAAATTAACTAAATATTGAGAAATAAAATATACTACCAATCAAATCTGAGATAAAACATTAACTAATTACTAATATTAAGATATATTCTATAACTAATTATTATAATATATTCCTCAAATTATATCTTAATACTCCACTCAGTTGGAGAGTGGATGTGAATCACACCTAACTTGTCTTTCAAAAAATCAAATTGATGTCTTCCAAAAATTTTAGGGAAAATATCTGTCAATTGCATTTTAGTCGAAACATAACACGGTTTGATGATTCCAGCTTGTAACTTTTCTCGAACTATATGACAATCTATTTCAATGTGTTTCGTACGTTCGTGAAAGACTGGATTAGCTGCTATATGTAATGTTGCTTGATTATCACAATACAATAATGTTGGTTTGGACAGTGGAAATTTCAAGTCTTGAAGAATGTATGTTAACCAAGTTAACTTAAACAAGTATTTGTCATAGCTCGATACTCGGCTTCTGTTGATGATCTGGACACATTGGTTTGTTTTTTAGACTTCCTAGAAATAATTGAATTTCCGAGGAAAATGCAAAACCAAGAAATAAACCGTCTAGAAGTTCGACAACCACCCCAGTCTGAATCACAATATGCTTGTAATCTTAAGTTGTTTTCAGATGGTAGTAGAAGTTCTTGACCAGGGGTACCTTTGATGTATCTCAGAACTCGAAGAGCTCCCTCCCAATGTGGTATTCTTGGTTCATGCATAAATTGACTAAGCATACAAACTGAATACACTATGTCACGCCTAGTGACGGTTAAATATATTAATCTGCCAATCAACCGTCTTGTATTTACTTAGATCATTCAATTTCTCTCCTTCTGTTAAAGAAAGTTTCAAATTTTGCTCCATAGGAAATTTTTTTGGACGTGCTCCTATAAAACCTGTGTCTTAAAGAATGTCTAGAGCATACATCCTTGAGACATAAAAATTCCTTTTCTAGATCGAGAAAATTCAATGCCTTGGAAATATTTCAAATTCCCTAAATATTTGATAAGGAATTTCTCCAGTCAACTAGTCTTGAGATGTTGAATTTCTTTGAGATCATTGTCTGTCAATAGAATATCATCAACATAGATAAGAGCTGCAGTGAAAGAGTACCTTTACTCTTAGTAAATAGAGACTAATCTGCTTTGGACTGAGTGTAGCCTGCATTTTGTATAGTGGTAGAGAATATGGAAAACCAATTGGGAGAAGCCTGTTTTAAACCATAAAGAGATTTATGGAGCCGACATACTGATTCTCCCCCTGTCGGCGAATATCTAGTGGTAAAGACATATAGACTTCCTCATCTAGATTACCATGGAGAAAGACATTTTGAACATCCAACTAATGAGTGAACCATTTTGAACATCTAGATTAAGTCATGCATGTGTAAGTATGAACTAATTCAAACTGCGAAACTGCGAATGACTCATTAAATCAGTTATAGTTTGTTTGATGATATTTGCTAATCGAATAACCGTAGTAATTCTAGAGCTAATACGTGCAACAAACCCCGACTTCTAGAAGGGATGCATTTATTAGATAAAAGGTAGACCCGGGCTTTGCCCGTTGCTCTAATACCATGTTAAGAATGAGAAATGGAAGTGGGATCAAAAGTGCAATCTTCATGTTTACAACGGTTAAACACGATACAAGCTACCAACTAATACCTAACAACAAGGAGAAAATATAAACTAACTAAATATTCATAATAATAAAATATACTACTAATCAAATCTAAGATAAAATATTAACTAATTATGATATCTAGAATATATTCTATAACTAATTATTATAATATATTCTATCAATATTATATCTTAATAACTAATAAAATAATTTTTTAATAAGGTATAGATTAGGTTGAAAAAATCTTTTGAATGGGTTGGTTGGATCAGTAACCTAAACAACTTAAACAAAGTTTACAATCCAACCGTTCAAGCTGGGTTGGAATGTCGGGTTGTTTATTTTTAAATAATAAAAAAGTCTTATCCAAAATACATATTATATTAATAACTAAAATCTTATAAAATTCAAATATCACACGTTTACGTATTCACATTCACAATGCATCACTAGTTACAAACATTAAATATTCTTAATCTTCTTAAGAGTTGGGTAGGGCTAGGTTGTATTTTAACTTTATTGTTGGGTCTCGACAAAAAAAAAAAAAAAAACAAAATACAAACCCCTATACCGAACTAGATTTTTTGTTTTCCAAAAATTCAATTAATTCTAAATCAAACGGTAAAAGATAAAAAAAACTATCTCAATCCAACCTTTATGGTTTGGGTTGGATAGTCGGGTTTGTTAGGCTATTGAATCATATGAACACTCCAAATAGACATAAGTTGTAGTATGAGTAGCATAGTTGATAGCAAATTTTTTAGACTTCTTGTAACGACCCTAGATTTCTGTTAACCTAAAATCGCTACCATCATCATCATAATATACTCTCTTATGCAAAAATAATCATTTAAAACATCATCATAAACCATTATCATAGACTTATATGTTTGAAAAAGGACTTTAAAACAACCTAACGAAATATGAATTAAAGCAAGGTAAATATTGAAATTGGAAGACACCATATACTTGTTAGATGAACATGACTCTCCACAATGATATGATATTGTTCACTTTGAGCATAAGCTCTCATGACTTTGCTTTGGGCTTCCCCAAAAAGCCTCAACCAATGTAGAGAGTATTCCTTGATTATAAACCCATGATCATTCCCTAAATTAGCCTATGTGAGACTTTCATCATCCAACACCTCCCCTCAAACAAAGTACGCGTCCCCTTCACCACGCTGTCACAACCTCAACAACCATGGCGTCGACCTTTGGCCCAATCCCTCTTCACCACGCTGTCACAATCCCTCTTCACCACGTTATCACAATCCGTCTCACCAAAAACAACTACATCATATGGCGCGCCCAGCTCCTCCCCTACCTATGGAGTACAAAGCTTATGGGCTACCTCGATGGCACCATTGCCGCACCTGCCAAGTTGATCCCTTCCTTAACCGCTACTGGTGCTGACCTGGTCTCTAATTCGGCCTATGATCAGGATCAACAGGTTCTTAGCGACCTTCTCTCCTCCATGACTGAGAAGATTCTTCACAATGTGGTTGCCGCTACTACGTCCAAGGAGGAGTGGGATACCCTGCAACGGATGTTTTCGTGGTCAACTCGTGCTCGCACTATTCAGATCCGTGTTGAGCTCGCCACGTCCAAGAAACGCGATCTGACTGCTGCAAAATATTTTCGCAAGATCAAAGGGTTGGCGACCGAGCTAGCCTCTGCTAGCTCTACCTTGCAGGATGATGATGTGATCTCGTATCTTCTCGCTGGTCTTGGTCCTGACTATGATCCCTTCGTTACCTCGATGACTACCAAGAGTGAAGCTCTCACGCTTGATAATGTGTTTGCACATCTAATGGCTTTTGAAGCTTGCCAACTACAATATCAAGCTGAACTTCAATTAAATCCTGGATCTTCTGTCAATTATGCTGGTCGTGGTGGTCAGCAGAAGAACCGTGGGTGTAGGGATCGTGGTCGTGGCCGTTCTCAAGGTGGTGCGCCCTCTCATCCTGTTGGTGATCATCATGACCCTTCTATTCGTCCTTCCTGCCAGATCTACGACAAAGTGGGGCATACTGTTGTTCGCTGTTGGCATAGGATGGATGAGTCCTATCAAGATGAACCTCCTTCCACAGCACTGGCGGCTACTTCTTCTTACAAGATTGATCCAAATTGGTATAGCGACACAGGCGCCACTGATCATATCACCAATGACCTGGATTATCTCTCTATGCGTGAACGCTATCATGGAGGTGAATAAGTTCAAGTCGGCAATGGAGCAGGTTTGCGTATTTTACATACTGGTCATTCTTTAATTAATACTGTTGCTCGTCTTCTTTCATTACGTAATATTTTGCATGTGCCTAAAATTTCCAAACATCTTCTTTCCGTTCATAATTTTTCTCGTGATAATGACGTATTTTTTTAATACCATCCTTGGAATTTTTCTATTAAGGATCGACGGTCGAGGAAAAGTCTTCTAGACGGGAGGTGTGAGTTTACTCTCTATCTTATTAAGTCATCTGATGTCGATGATCTCAAGCACGCCTTACTGAGAACATCTTGGACAACCTTTATCTCAAGTGTAAAGTCAATTTTGCGTCTCAATAATATTTCTTGTGCTAGTGAGTCACCTTTGTCAATTTGTAATGTGTTTCAGTCAGCAAAAAGTCATAAATTACCATATACTAGTTCTTCTCATAGGTCTTCGTCACCTTTGGAACTGATTTTTTCGGATGTTTGAGGTCTTCCAACTCCATTTGTTGGGGTTTTAAATATTATATTAGCTTCATTGATAATTTCAGTAAATTTTCGTGGATCTATTTGATGCATGATCGTACAGAAGCTTCTCGTATACTTTTACAATTCCAAGCTCATGTTGATCGCCTCCTAGATACTAAAATCAAGTGGGTCTAATCTGATTGGGGTGGGGAACATTAGAAAATTCATAACACATTCTTTCGTTCCCTTTGAATTGCTTTCGTGTTTCGTGCCCTCTCATGCATCAACAAAATGGGTCTGCTGAATGCAAGCACCGTTATATTGTTGAAACTGGCCTAGCCCTTCTAGCTCATGCTAATGTACCTATTAAATTTTGGGATGACGCATTTCTTACAGCCACATATCTCATCAATTATCTTCCTACTCGTGTCATCGATAACAAATGCCCCTTAGAGCGTCTTTTTTATACCCCACCAAATTACTCCTCATTAAAAGTTTTTGGGTGTGCTTGTTGGCCTCATCTTCGCCCTTATAACAAACAATAGCTCTCTTTTCGATCCAAGGAATGTGTCTTTTTAGGCTACAGTTCTTTACATAAAAGGTATAAGTGTCCTGACATCGATTCTGGTCATGTCTATATTTCTAGAGACGTCATATTTGATGAGAATACTTTTCCGTTCAAGAGAGCCCCACCCAATTCTTCCCCAACCTTGCAGCCGACGCACAATGCCCCTGATTTGTGCACCTTGCATTTGGGTAACAGCAACACTAATTTGGATAATGATCACATGCATATATTTGTGCCTACTAACTCTTTGGATGCAAAAAATCTGGTGCACACATCAACTTCGAAATTGCCGCCGCAATCCTTCCCGTCGCTGCTGCGCGAATCAGAGTTGGATGTTTTGTCAATGATTGGGGCCTCGGATCCTCCATCAACAGATGATATTGCGCAATGCCCGGTCGGATCCTCGGCCGCTGGTCAACCGACTGTTGTAGCACCGATTACTCCCCTCGCAACGGCTGGTATGGTTGCCCCCTCAATTGTGGATACTACACCTGCTACTCATCTGTATGGTACTCGATTGAAGCACAATATCAAGAAACCCAAGGTGCGTAAAGATGGAACAGTAACATATTCTATAGTTCGGTCTTCTGCCTTTTAACCTACTTCACATATTACTGCTATGGAGCATCCCCTATGAAGTCAGACAATGAATGATGAATTTCAGGCACTTCTCAAAAATAAGACATGGCACTTGGTTCCTCCTCGTACTGGTCTTAATGTTATTGATTGCCAATGGGTTTTCAAACTCAAGCAAAAGTCAAATGTCTCTATTGATCGCTACAAAACACGCCTGGTTGCTAAAGGGTTTAAACAGAAGTATGACGTTGATTATGATGATACATTTAGTCCAGTTGTTAAGCCCACTACCATTCGGCTCTTATTATCTCTTGTTATTTCTCGTAGTTGGGCTATTCGGCAGATTGATATTCAAAATTCTTTTCTTCGTGGCTTTCTTAATGAAGATGTTTATATGAAGCAGCCCCCTGGATTTGTGGATTCTCAACATACTGGTTATCTTTACAAGCTGGATAAGTCGCTTTATGGCCTCAAACAAGCTCCGCGTGCCTGGTTTTCTCGCCTTAGCTCTAAACTATTACAGCTGAATTTTACACCTTCAAAAGCTGATGTCTCTCTTTTCATTTTTAACAAGATGAGCATTCAGATGTATATCCTCATCTATGTTGATGATACTATTATCATCAACTCATTTTCTACAGCTATTGAGAAACTTCTTACACATCTTCGGGATGATTTTTGCCATCAAGGATCTTGGCATTTTGAGTTATTTTCTTGGGATTGAGGTCCGCCATACTTCTAATGGACTTGTTCTGACACAACATAAATACATTCAAGATTTATTGTCCAGAACCAATATGCTCACCTTCAAAGGTGTGCCCACACCTATGCTTCCTAGTGAGAAATTGTTATTGGATGAGGGTGAAAAGCTCTCGCCTGAGGATACTACTCGCTATCGGAGTGTCGTTGGTGCTCTCCAATATTTATCTTGACGCGTCCTGATATATCCTTCTGTGTCAATAGAGTGTGTCAGTTCATGTCCTCCCTCACTTCCGTACATTAGGCAGCAGTCAAATGAATGCTCTGTTATCTACATGACACTATTGATATGGGCTTGTGTCTTACAAAGTCCAACATTGATTTGCTGAGCGCCTTTTCGAATGCTGATTGGGTCAGAAATCCTGATGATCTATTTTATCATCAATCCAATCACCGTTCCCATTTTTTATTTTTCTTATCAATGAATATATCTCTTTACTTGTATGACTTAGATGTCTCGTATTTCTCGAAAAAGCGATTCGATGAAACACTAGAGCCTATGTGATCTTCTTTGGTGGCAATCTTATCTCCTGGAGCTCAAGGAAACAATCGACAGTTTCTCGTTCTAGTATGGAGGCCGAATATAAGGCGGTTGCTGATGCCACTGCCAAATTAATCTGGATCCAAGTTCTCTTGCGTGAGCTCGGGATCTCGCAAGCTCAAGCGCCTAGCTTGTGCTGTGACAATATTGGTGCCACCTATCTGTCCGCCGATCCAATCTTTCATCGACAGACGAAGCATGCTGAGGTTGATTATCACTTCGTTTGTGGACGAGTATCGACTCGTCAGCTTGATGTGCGACTCATATCTTTCAAGGATTAGTTCGTCGATATCATGATAAAACCACTGTCAGCTCCTTATTTTAGTAGTTTTAGGCGCAATCTGAACTTAGTAGTACATCGTCCAGATTGAGGGGGGTGTTAAACGTAGAATAGATCATATTTGTACATAGTAAGATAATCTACTGATTTACTTGTTTGTTACCATGAATTAAGAAGAATCTATTATTCCCTCGTTTGTTACCAAATCTATGATTTCATGTTTGTTACAATGTAATCCTCATTATACATCTATAAATATATGAGGTCGTGACCCATATAGGCCATAGTGCCATTCAACCTAACAATACTAACCTATGGTCTAAGAATTTAAATACAACTATCCTATCCATGTGTTATGGGCTTTACTTGCGATGTCGTCGTTGGCTGTACAGGAGCAGCTTGCCTTTACCTGAGAAATAGAAGTAGCACATGACTTGAATATTTTATAAAATATTTTGCAAGGCAAATACATGCAACTCATGATTAGAGACCTATCATTAAAACCATCGTAGAGGTGACCTCAAATCTTGACAAATTGGATGTGTAGGTACTTCCCTACACACGACTCACACTGCGAGCATGAGTCCCCAAGCGATTCACACCCCCATTTGAGTCCATCATAGCTTGGCTAGTTGTCTGTAGCCGAACGTCTGGAGGTCATTAAACCCTCGAATATCATGCAAGACATGATCATGATGATGATCAACCATAGTGTACATGTCAGTGCTCATCATCATAAATGGGGAAGTAACCCGATGTATATGAACACACAATATGCATGAGGTTCCTATAGTTTTCATCTTATATCGTTCTTATGACATAACCTTATACATCATTCACATATTACTCTAGCTAACATGCATGCTTTGACCTTCATATGTTCATCATCATTAACATCATTTAGGGTTGTGTCTTAAAAAATTCTTCATCGTAGTGCATCACGGCATTTAGTACATGCACATAAGGAATAAGTTATGAGAGGTTGGCGGTGAGATGAGATCCATGATTATTATTATTATTATTATTATTATTATTATTATTTTAGTAATTAACTTATTTTCTTTCTATATTTACTTCTATGTTGTTGCTATTATTTGTGAAAAAGATTAAGATAATTGATTGATTGAGAAGTTAGCCTCCATAATCACAAAACTTCCCACCTTTAATAAAATTTAATTAATTCACAATTATCATCATCAAGATAATAATAAATGAAAATTAATTAACTCAATTAAAAGCCCAAAAAAGTCTACCATTTTATGATTGTTATTATAATTTTCATCTTTTCCTTTTTTTTTTTTTTTTTTTTTTTTTTTTTTTTTTTTTTTTTTTTTTTTTTTTTAAGAGCACTGGAATTTTGAGGCTTTTAGAATTTTTAAAAAATTTGAGTTAAAATTTAAAACCTAAAAAAAAGTATATTAGA